AATATATTATATATTTTAATATTTTATATTTTACTGCTTTTTACCTTTTACTGTTAAATATTTTTAACCATATACAGGGTTTTTTTTATTAAAACATTGACTAAATACATTAGTAAAATAGGGCTGTGAAGTCATTCTATTTTTGTGGGCCTTCTGTGCACTTATTGTGTGAATCACAGCTCTGTTTGGGGCTTTAATATGTGCTTTTGTATTGTAGTTATGCAGCTAACATTATCTTGGTCTTGTACCTAGAGGCACTCACTAATTGTTTGTATATTGCATGTGTAAAAGAAAAATAAAGGAATGAAGCCAAAATAGCCTGTTAAAACATTCCTACCCTTTTCTTTAGGGTTCTAATTCCTGCACTAATATTAGAGGACCAAGGAAATGTAGTGGGTTTTTTTTCTCTCCCTTTTCAATGAGTCATTTTTAAAACGAAGTGAAACATTATCCCTAATTATAACAGCAATCTGCTCCTCTGAGGTTTGTAAGCCCCGTTTGAACATCAAATTGGATTCTTCCAATGACTGTATTCCTTTATCCAGCCCTCTGATTTTTATTTCAAGGCCATCAAATCACTAGGTAATTGAGTCCATTTTTAAATCCATCATCTCCCGTCACTCTTTTTCAGTGCTTGCCTCTGAGACTTATAACATCTGTGGAAGTCTTTCCATTACTTTGTATATTCAGTTTTGAACTATTTGTCCACTGAAACAAACCTCACCCACCGGGTTTAAATCTTCCTTTTACGTCTGAAGCTCAGCCTTAACTCCTGCCTTGCCCTTTTACAATTGAATAGAGATACATAAGTGCTACAGGTATAGGTATTAATATAGGTATAGGTATACTTACATGTGATTTTGGTCTAAAGAGTGATTTGCCTTATGGACTCCCCATAATAATGCATCCAATTCCTTGCAAAGTAGTAAATGGCCGCACCAAATATGCATTTCTTTATGGCAGTGGGGACCCCATAGGCAGTGTACCCTTATTGCTGATGGGAGAAACCATGAGGCTCAGAGAAAAGGCTACTTGGATTATTCCACTGTCACAAAAGCCCCCAAATAAAACATCCTGATGGCAGGAACGTGTTTCATTCCATGCGTATTCATTCTGCTTCACATTTATCCCATTGCAATATTTTCCCCTTCACTTCAGTAACTACAGGCGTGTCTGATTCTCTGTGACCTCATGGACTGTAGTCTACCAGGCTCCTCTGTCCATGGGATTCTCCAGGCAAGAATGCTGGAGTGGGTTGCCATGCCCTTCTCCAGGGGATTTTCCTGACACAGGGATCAAACCTGTGTCTCTTATGTCTCCTGCATTGGCAGGCAGATTCTTAACCACTAGCACCACCTGGGAAGCCTGTAATCAACTTGAGTTCTTATGACACGGTTGGTCCTCATTCCTTGAGAGTTTGGATCGCTGCTCTTAGTTTAGAGATAGTTTCATAGATGTGGACTCCAGAGGCTGTGAGCTTTCACATTATCTCACTGATATATACAGACAAGATTTAGCAATTACCAGTAATAAGTTTTTCCTCCTATTGATTTATACATTTTACATTAATATAGTGTTATTTAGTGCTCAAAATCATTTATACTCATATGTTCATTGCATAATTTCATTTATACCCACTTGATCATCACAACAATTCTGTTATTAAGATAAGTCAGGTGTAATTGTTCCCTTTTTGGAGCAACAAAGTGAAAAAAAAAGTTAAAAAAGTAAAGTCGCTCAGTCATGTCCGACTCTTTGCCACCTCATGGACTGTAGCCTACCAGGCTCCTCTGTTCATGGGATTTTCCAGGCAAGAGTACTGAAGTGGGTTGCCATTTCCTTCTAGAAATCATCAATTAGTCAAGTGACTAGTTAAAGGTCTTGTGGCTTTAAAGGGCACAGCACATACTAAAATTCAGATGATCTGATTTTACATAATACATGAGTTCATTCATATTAATAATCCAAATGATGAAAAATTTCCTACAAATGTAAGATTTACTTTTATAGAATGTAGGCTTTTAGAGAGTTAGAAGTATTGTTTGCTCTGAACATGTTTTTGTAATATCAGCTAGCTCCTACGTGATCATAAACAGGAAATGGGAAATGATGTCAGCGTGATGTAGACATGTTAGTTCATACAGAGTATTGCTTTTATCTCTGTAAATCAGGTACTTTAAGCTTTATTTACATTTCCAAGTAAGCTACATTCTTCCTTTTAAGGTAAAATAAATCTTATATTTACTCTAATCCTTTTTTTTTTCCATTTATTTTTATTAGTTGGAGGCTAATTACTTTACATCATTGCAGTGGTTTTTGTCATACATTGAAATGAATTAGCCATGGATTTACATGTATTCCCCATCCCGGTCCCCCCTCCCACCTCCCTCTCCACCCGATCCCTCTGGGTCTTCCCAGTGCACCAGGCCCGAGCACTTGTCTCATGCATCCAACCTGGGCTGGTGATCTGTTTCACCCTAGATAA